ATCTTTCTTCATAAATCCTGGCCAAAATTTATTTGGTTATCTTTTTATTTAAACAAAATAACCCAAATTAGTTTATTACCAAAAATTATAATTTTTCAAATTTTTTTTTTACATTTTTATTAATATTATTATTTATTTTTTCTTTTAACATACTGTCTCCCTAGCAGTAGTATCACCATAGAATAGTGACACTGTACTACTTGTGGGGGGTGATGAAGATTTTTTTTTTCTTTTTTTTTTATACTCATAAAGGCTGTAAAAGCAATCATTTCTCCTTCTCTCTGGCTGCATTACTGCAGCCAATGAGAAATACTGTGTGAGCTGTGATTGGTCACAGCTTGTCACATGGTACAAGGCTGTTGTGAATATCCCTGTACCATGTGATCTCTGTGATCATTCACAGATTTCACACATAGTAAGCAATGATGTCAGAAAGTGGACATCTTGCTTACTCCTTTTCAATGTGATCACTGATTGGCCAATCAGTGATCACATGATCTGGACCTCACACAGATGGTCCCGTACATCGATCGGTGTTCTGCTGGTTTCCTTCGGATCGTGGTGCCGCGCACTCTCCAGGGAGCGCGCACAATCTCCAAATTGGTGGGCACCATTTAATGAACAGCAACCCGCCCCTGCACTGCCACCATCCGGCCGTTTAATATATTGGATGGGGAAGTGGGTAAGGTGGCTCAACTCTAGATGGTGGGACCAATGGAGACAGACCTTGGACGTATCCGACAGGGTGACTCAAAAATACAAGCCCGCTGTGATACTGACCAGTGGTGGAACTATCAGGGATTCGCAAAGGTCCACTTGCAACCGGGCCCTAGTGATCAGCCCACTGTAGGGGGGGCAAGAGGGCAGGAAGGGGGGCCTGCTGCAGAAGTCGTATGACTGAGCCCTCCTGCTGGACCGTAAGGCTTGGTTCGCATTGCAGTGACCCCAAAATCGTGGGACTTGCTTCCAACTTCCTTGCAACTTTTGTGACATTCATTTTGCAGTCTCGGCAACCCAAATTGTACCAAAGAGGTCGCTGACTGAAAAAGAGTAGTGCAAGAAACCTGGCTTTTTTTTTTTTTTTTTTTTTTTTTTTTTTTTGTTGCTGCAGCTGTGACTTGAGTCAGCACCAGGGGCGGACTGCTGACCATTTGGAAACTCAGGTCAGGAGGGGGCCCCATGTGAGATGCCCCTGGTACCTTTTTCATAAGCTTTTTTGAGTTTGGGCTCAAGGACACGGGCCCCATGATCCCTTTTATTGCCCGGGGGGGCCCCATGAGTTGTCAGTCCCGCCCCTGGTCAGCACCCCATTGTAAATGGATGTGTTTTGACTTTGTCATGTCATGTCGCTTTTACGTCATCGCAAGTCACATGATCAGTCATTGTCTCAGTGCGGAACCGGGGGCTTATAAAGGGCCCTGTGATGGGTAGTAAAGGACCCCAACATCAGTGAGAAAGGCCTTGGACCCAGAGGGTAGGTCCCCGGGCTCAGAGGGAAAAGACCCCAAAACCGATGGAAAGGGCTCCAGCAGTCAGGAGGGGGGCCCTGAAGGTTTTAATTACTCCTTTGCTACTGACAGAATGCCCTGATATATTTTGCCCGTAGTTCTACTGACTTTTTTTATGTAACTTTTATATCTGCTCTCTTGCAGTTACTTTTTCCAGCATAGAAGGAGTTGACATTTCATAACTCTTTCTGCTGAAATAACACATCTCGATGATTGAGAGTTCAACCAAACGAAAAAAACAAAAAAACACGTCGCACCGGTTTCGGGGAACTCAATTTGTCTTCGCAATTTTTCTGTTCCTCTAGGTCTGGATTTGGGACAAGCACAGTCTAGACGAAGGCACTTTGGGGCGCTTCTCCGGTGGAGACACGAGTGACAAACAACGACGCTGTCTCTTTCCTCATTATTGATGGAACCGAGCCTTCAGATTATAACCACGCAAGTACAAACTGCAACCGCCATAAATCAGTTCGGCGAGGATTCAGCCTGTGATTATCTCCCTGAGAGAGGAAGAGTGAGCGCTATCATTCATTCGTCATAGAGCTTGAGTGTCAGCCTAACATGGTCTTCCATCCATCTCTGGCCATTGACGTGTCCCCATCATGGAGAGCAATACATAACGGGTCCGGCGGCTTCTCTTCCAGCTACTCTGACCCCTCATGCTCCTGCTGATTGCTCTGGGTTTGGGGACGCTCTGCCTCTTCGTACTGGTGACCATCTGCGTTCTTTGCTGTCGGCGACCACGGAAAGGTAACGATTGATTTTCTATGTCCTCATTTTTGGGTCAACTTTTTTTCTTTCTTCTGTCTACTTATCGTCATTGTCTGAGCGGGTCAAGGTAATCTAAATACCCAGGTGATACAACCCCCCCCCCCCACCCCACCCCCCCCCCCCTCACACCCCCCTACCCCGGCCCAAATTTTGCTCATACATATGCTCTAAATCTTGGGGGGGCACTATTTGGCGTGTTCACCTGGGTTTTTGTTTACTTGACCGGGCTCTGACAATGTACGTTAAAGTAGACAGATGAAAGAAAGTTGACCCAAAAAATGAGGACATAGAAAAGCAATCGCTTTTTGTTTACTTTCCGTGGTCGCCGACCGCAAGAACGCAGATGGTTCATACCAGTACGAAGAGGCAGAGCGTCCCCCAAACCCAGAGCTAATCAGCAGGAGCATGAGGGGCAGAGTAGCTAGCTGGAAAGAGAAGCTCGGACCCGTTATGTATTGCTCTCCATGATGGGGACACGTCAATGGCCAAGATGGAGGAAGGACATGTTAGGCTGACACTCAAGCTCTATGACGATATGAATGAGCGCTCACCCTTCCTCTCTCAGGGAGATAATCACGGGGAATCCTCGACCGAAACTGATTTATGGCGGTGCAGTTGTACTGCGTGGTATAATCTGAAGGCTCGGTTCCATCAATAATGAGGAAAGAGACAAGCGTCGTTGTTTGTCACTCGTGTCTCCACCCGAGAAGCGCCCCAAAGTGCCTTCGGTTCTAGACTGTGCTTGTCCCAAAATCCAGACCTAGAGGGAACAGAAAAATTGCGAAGACAAATTGAGTTCCCGAACGGCGAATGGGGCTTGTGCGACGTTGTGTGTTTTTTGTTTTTTTGTTTGGTTGACTCTCTAATCATCGAGTGTTATTTCAGCAGAAAGAGTTATGAAATGTCAACTTCTTCTTGGCCTGGAAAAAAGTAACTGCAAGAGAGCAGATATAAAAGATGTACTAAAAGTAGAACTACGGGCAAATATATCAGGCATTCTGTCAGTAGCAAAGGAGTAATTTAAACCTTCAGGGCCCCCCTCCTGACTGCTGGAGCCTTTCCATCGGTTTTTGGGGTCTTTCCTCTGAGCCCGGGGACCTTCCCTCTGGGTCCAAGGCCTTTCTCACTGATGTTGGGGTCCTTTATACCCATCACAGGGCCCCTTTTAAAGCCCCGGTTCGCTCACTGCTATGGACTGATCATGTGGACTTGCGATGCGTATAAAAGCGCCATGACAAGTCAAAAAACATCATCCATTTCAATGGGTGCTGACCAGGGGCGGACTGACAACTCATGGGGCCCCCGGGCTAATAGGGGATCATGGGGCCCTGTTGTGTCCTTGCCCTAAACTCAAAAAAGCTTATGAAAAAGGTACCAGGGGCATCTCATGGGGCCCCCTACTGACCTGAGTTTCCAAATGGTCAGTCCGCCCCTGGTGCCTGACTCAAGTCACAGCAGCAACAAAAAAAAAAAGCCAGGTTCTTGCACTTACTTTTCAGCGACTTTGGTACAATTTGGGTGCCGTAGACTGCAAAATGAAGTCACAAAAGTTGCAAGGAAGTTGGAAGGGCAAGTCCCACGATTTTGGGGTCACTGCAATGCGAACCAAGCCTTACGGTCCAGCAGGGGGGCTCAGTCATACGTTCTGCAGCAGGCCCCCTTCCTGCCCTCTTGCCCCCCCTACAGTGGCTGAACACTAGGGCCCGGTTGCAAGTGGGACCTTTGCGACCCTGATTAGTTCCACCACTGGTCAGTATCACAGCGGGCTTTGTATTTTTGAGTCACCCTTGTGATACGTCCAAGGCTGTGTCTCCATTGGTCCTCCATCTAGAGTTGAGCCACCTTACCCACTTCCCATCCAATATATAACGGTCTCCGGATCGGGTGGCAGTGCAGGGGCGGGTTGCTGTTCATAATGGCGCCCACCAATTTGGATTGTTGCGCGCTCCCTGAGAGTGTGCGCGGCACCACGATCCGAAGGAAACAGCAGAACACCGATCGATGTACGGGACCTCTGTGTGAGGTCCAGATCATGTGATCACTGATTGGCCAAATCAGTGATTCACATGAAAAGGAGTAAGCAAGATGTCACTTCTGACATCATTGCTTACTATGTGTGAAAAATCTGTGAATGATCACAGAGATCACATGGTACAGGGATATTCACAAAAACAGCCTTTGTACCATGTGACAAGCTGTGGACCCAATCACAGCTCACACAGTATTTCTCATTGGCTGCAGTAATGCAGCCAGAGAGAAGGAGAAATGATTGCTTTTACAGCCTTTATGAGTATAAAAAAAAAAGAAGAAAAATCTTCATCACCCCCACAAGTAGTACAGTGTCACTTATGGTGATACTACTGCTAGGGAGACAGTATGTTAAAAAAAACCCATAAATAATAATATTAATAAAAATGTAAAAAAAAAAAATTGAAAAATTATAATTTTTTGGTAGTAATAAACTAATTTGGGTTATTTTGTTTTAATTAAAAGATAACCAAATAAATTTTGGCCAGGATTTATGATTGAGAAAGATTATTTATTTGCAAGATTTTTATAAGAAAAACACTTTTTTCAAAATTTTTGGACTTTTTCATTTATATAGCAAAAAATAAATAAAAATCCCAGCGGTGAATAAATACAGCCAAATAAAGTTTTTATCTGTCTCAAAAAAATGCTAAAACATTCATATGGGTACAGTGTTGCATGACCGCGCAATTGTCATTCAAAGTGTGATAGCGCTGAAAGCTGAAAATTGGTCTGGGCAGATGGGGGGGGGGGGGGGGAGTGTCCGGGACGTGGAAGGGGGGTGAAAAGTGTTGAAAGAGTCCGGACTGGAAGGGGGGAGATATCACTAGGGGAAAGTGTCCGGACTGGAAGGGGGGGAAAGTGTCCGGACTGGAAGGGCGGGGGGGAAAGATGTCCGGACTGGAAGGGGGGGGGGGGGGGAATGTGTCCGGACTGGAGGGGGGGGGGGGGGAAAGTGTCCGGACTGGATGGGGGGGGGGGAAAAAGTGTCCGGACTGGAAGGGGGGGGGGGAAAGTGTCCGGACTGGAAGGGGGGGGGAAAAGTGTCCGGACTGGAAGGGGGAGAATGTGTCCGGACTGGAAGGGGGGGAAAGCGTCCGCACTGGATAGGGGGGGGGTTTGAAAGCGTTCCGGACTGAAATAAGGGGGGGAAAGCGGTCCGGACTGGAAGGGGGTTGAAAGCGTCCGGACTGGAAGGGGGTGAAAGCGTCCGGACTGGAGGGGGGGGGTGAAAGTGTCCGGACTGGAGGGGGTGAAAGTGTTCCGGACTGGAAGGGGTGTAAAGTGTCCGGACCGAAAGGGGGGGGGTTGAAAGTGGGTCCGGACTGGAAGGGGTGTGAAAGTGTCCGGACCGAAAGGGGGGTGAAAGTGTCCGGACTGGAAGGGGGTGAAAAGTGTCCGGACTTGAAGTGGTTTAAGACAGGAGGTGGTGTTACTTGGCAGGGATCACCAGGTGAAAACATATGTGGAAAAGCCTATAAAAATGAAACTAATGCACCCAACACACCAACGGACTGGTATGCTGCAGTAGATACATTTCGTTTTTTTGGGATATTGGACATGTTTTATCTGTGATCCTAATGAAACGTTTGTATTTGTCGAAGCTCCGTAGCTAAGTAACATCGCACTTACGATTCTGTCCGGTATTGGTGTGGTTTCAACAAGACATTCCAGCCGTGCTTTCCCTCAAGGACGCTTTCATAGCTTGTTTCACTGGTGATGACAGGTGGCCCTTGAAAACAAAGAAGATACAAGGTCGTTTTAGTGTGCTAGAATGCCGTGTGAAAGGTCCATCGTTTTTTTTTTTTTTCAATATAGAATACAATGAAATAGGACAAAAAGGGAGATACATCTTAGTTGTTCCATCCGTTAATAAAAAGAATATAAAAAATACCCGCCATTCCTATAAGCTGAAGTGGATTGTCTCGCATTATGTGGTGGATTCTTATTACCTCTCACGGTCTAGAGTTACTTCTTCTCTCTTGGTTTCAGATACGCGGGACGATGGCCTTGCACACGTAGGTTCCTTGCTTCTTCCGGGTAGCTCCTTGGTTCAGTGATAGTGTGTTGCTCGTTACTCAGCACCTGAGAATTGGCTGGGAAGGAAATGGTAAGAACTTATGGTGGACTATCATCTAATGCTTTATTATTAGTCAAACGAAAATACATTTTATAAATTGGTAGGAGCTTGTATCGATTTTCTCGCTTTGTCAACGTCAGGGCAAGTGGGTAGGATCATATCTGGGTGACGGTTGTGAGTAGAAGGCGTATCGATAAATGTATCTACGGGTTCACCATGACTACATGGGCAGCCAACATTGCTTCCGCAGTCGTTAATTCCCTGACTGGATCCGATGTGGGCTTGTCAATCTAAGTGCTGCCTGGGCTTGCATGGGGCTGGGTTGGTGAGGAGTTATAAAGGTGGCTGCGGCGCGGATATATAAATTTATTGATGTGGCCGTTGCCGTCAGTGTGTCTCGGGTGATTCGAATACGATGACTGTCACGCTGTAACCCGAGGCTGCATGCATCCATCTATTAATGTCCTAAAGAAGCTGGCGGGGTTCGATACCCGCTCCGAACCTGATGCCTCATATCCTCGATCGTACGCACTCTGCTGGTAGGGCGTTCTCGTTCGCGGCACCCTATAGTGCGCATTCTAGTTGCCCTGGCATGTAACTTGACAGCGTACTCCCATGCCCATCTCGTTCCCACAATACAGACTGGCACAATTCTCGATTCTGGTTCGATCTAGACCTTGATACACTCGTACTCCGATCACGCTGGTAACGTACACGTACTGACGTCACCATTGACCTTCACTCGTTCACGCTGGCCTTGACACGTCTGCGATCTGCGATCAACCCTAAGCCCAACTCGTTAACCGCAGTGGCCGTTCTCGTCTCTGCGTCTGCGTCTCCCTATGCCCTTACACGTAACCGCTGGTCCTATACTCGTCTGCTCTAATACCCTTGGCCCTATCTCTCGTTAACTCATGCCAATACTCAGATACGTCATCTACACCCTATCCCTAACACGTAACCAGCATGGCCAATACATCGGCTGGCTACGTCCCATGCCCATCTCACTAACCTCTCAGAGTTCAAATCACTACATCTACACCCATTCCGTCAACTTACCTCCCTGCTGGTCCGATCATCTTCATGCTAACCCTAAGGCCTTCACATCTACCGCCTCATTCCAAACTACTACATCTACACCCAACCCATCACTAACCTCATGGCCAAACTCTACATGCTGCACCCTAATTCCCAACAACGTAACCTCATTCCAAAAACATACGGTCTGCTCTACAACTCCAATCCCTAACACCTCTAATCCTCAATTCCGTATAACACTGCATCTACTCACCGAGCCCAACTCTTAACCTGCATTCCAAACTCTGCAGACTACACCCGTAGCAGCCCAACACGTTACCTCATTGCCAAACACGGCACGCACTGTCACCCTATGTCCCTACTACTATTTCCTCTTGCCATTTCACGTCTGGTCTACTCCCAATGCCAACATAACTCATTAGGCATAAATCTTACTTCGTACTGCTGCTCATATGTCCCAACTCGTGTTACACCAGTCGGAACATTTAGTCCGCAACCCAATGCTCATTCACTAGTAATCTCATGGCCTCTCACATATCTTAGTCAATCCCAATTGACCTTCACGTAACGCTGTCCGTTCTCGATCGTAGCGACTAATCCCTTGCGCCATAACACTACCGCTAGGCCTTTCCATACTCTTGCGGACACCCATTGAATCCAACACTAACCTACTCATCGTTACGAAACTAGACTTACTAGTCTACACCCAATCCCAACATACTTAATATCTCATTCGCAAATCACTTACATCGATCTGCGAACTACACCAGGTTCCAAACTAACCGCATTTCCACTTACTCGACGTCATCTCGTCACTCCCAATCTCCTACATAACCTCACGCTCAAGGCCTCTATTACAGTCAATGCGTTCCCAACACTAACCTCATTCCTCTGGAGGTACGCGTATCTGGATCACCAAGCCTCCTACTCGGTTTACTCATGGCCGTTCCTATCAACATACATTAGCCCATCCAACACTTATCCTCATTCCATTAATATCGAACTCGGTGTACCCAAGCCCAACACTTACCTCATTCCAATTCCACTAACGCTGTACCCAATCTAGCCCTAACATACACTTACCTCATTCCAAACACTCGATCATGTTACACCCAATCCAACTATATACTTAAACCTCATTCTGAACATTAACTCTGCACCCAATCTCAACACGAACCTAATGCCATTTACATTACATTTACACCAAATTCAAACACTAACTCATTCTGATACATTATCATCTACACCCACACTCCACACTAACCTCATTTCGAACACAAAAATACTCTACACCCAATCACCCAACACTAACCTCATTCCAAACACTAACATCTACACCCAATCCCAAACACTAACCTCATTCGAACACTAACTGTACACCCAACCCCATAAAACTAATCTCATTCGAACGCTAACTCTACCACCCAATTTCAACACGAACCTCATTCCAAACATTTAACTCGCACCAATCCCAACACTAACCTTATTCCAAAACACTAACTGTACATTGTAAAACCTTATTCCGAACCCATCCCAATGCAATTTCCAAAAGAAACCTTTATCTCACCTCTTGTGGAGCCTTTCTTGTTCAGAACTGGGTTGGTGTTTGGGGTTTCCAGTCCATCCGCAAAAAAAGGATGCATCTCCGCCAACATCCACAGTCATAGGACGCGGTTCTGTCAGGAGACGCGGCCCAACTGTTGGCAAAAGTCAAAGATTGAGAGTTAGTTTGAATGATTTCAGTCTAAATTTCAGACAAAATACTCCCCAACACCTTTTGGTTGATGCAACTTATATTACTCACACAAAACATTCACGGCTGTGCTAACGTTGCTGCTTCCAACACTCTGTTGGAGACCTCGCAGGACACAGGAGCGGTGAAGAAGGAGTGGTCCTCACTGTTACATGGTAGCGGTCTCCTGAAACGGAAATTGGAAAACTCCACCCTTGGCCCACCTATTAGGTTGTCACCTCTGGGTTTGACACAGCACTGCACAGGAAAGTCACCGAGCCCCCTTCTGAGACGGTTGGAGGATTTCACAGACAGCGTTACCTTGGGGGGATCTAAAAAAAGTAAGAAAATGTAAAAAATTAAGATGTTGGAGATTTTTGTGGACTGATGACCTGAAGGGTTTAGGTTAGGGGCGGAACTGACCATTTGGAAACTCGGGCACTGCCCGAGGGCCCAGGGTCAGTAGGGGGCCCCATGAGATGCCCTGGTACCTTTTTCATTAGGCTTTTTTGAGTTTGGGCAAGGACACAGGGGGGGGGCCCCATGATCCCCTATTGCCGGGGGCCCCATGAGTTGTCAGTCCGCCCCTGGTTCAGGTTCCCCTTTCAAATTCAGGTCTTTCCAGTTAGATTTAGAATCTCGGAATGTTGGATACTCACATTGCACGCTCAACGTCACCGATCTTTCTCGCCCTTCGGGCATCGCGGAGTTCCTGACGTGGCACATGTAGCATGGATCCCGCATCGGCAAAGCTTGGTGTGATTAGGAGACTGCTAACGGCCGTCCTCGCTCTTGCTGTCTCCGATAGCAAAATGCTGGAAGAGACAACCATGGAAGAAGAATTAGTCAGATCGAAGAACATATGAATTTACCAGACGCGGGTAGACAGCTGGAAAAGGCGCAAATGTGAAGCCAAACCTTGGAATAAATTGCTCCATTTAGTTGCCTGCCGTCATGGTACCAGTGGATGATCTCGGCCGCTGGTTTTGCCGCAGGAGCCAAGCAGGGTGAGGTTAAAAGGGGGGTGTCGTGCAGCACATTGAGTACGGGAGCTCCGTCGTATCAAAGGGTCTCCAGGAGGAACTGAAAGAAAAGTAGGATGTTAGCAAACCCTGAAAAACTTGATATTGTCCAATCGCTACACAGTCTGAGGGCCATTATAGACTGCTACCTGACCAAACAATTTCCATCCAGTCTTCAATTAGATTTACCAAAATTGTTAGGGATGAAAAGTATCCATTGAAAATTATATCCAATCAGGGAAAGTCCTTGCATAGCATCATTGTGCTACTACTGCCATTCTACTAGGCTGTCCATTCTTTGATACTGCCACTTCGACTGGGTCTTTGGAGCAGCAGATAACTCAACTTATATCAGAAGATTGTTTATGAAGTAGTCCCTCCGTCATGGCCGACCTCACCGCAGGCGATCCCCTCCTCCCAGTCTATCATGAATATCGCTGCGGCCAGGACTCATCCCCAGTTACTAACCGTTTCTGTATCTGCCCCCCTCTTCGAGCCAATCCCTCCACTCGGTAGGCCCTCCACTCAGTGTCCTACCACCCCACTCTGCCAATCCTCCACTGACCTCCACTCAGTGTCCCACTCCCACCCCCATCTGCCCTTCCACTGCCAGCTCCACTGGCCTCCAGTCAGTGTCTCCTCACCCCTCTCTGCCAATCCCTCTACTGGCCTCCATTCAGTGTGGCCTCCACCCCTCTCTGCCAATCCTCTCACTGGCCTCCACTCTAGTGTCCGCCCACACTCTCTCTGCCAATCCCTTCCAACTGGCACCCTCCACTCTGTGTCCTCCACCCCTCTCTGGCCTATCCCTCCCCTGGCCTCCACTCAGTGTCCTCCACCCCTCTCTGCCATTCCCTCCACGCATTCCCTCCACTCAGGTATCCTCCCTCCCCTCTCTGCCAATCCCTCCCACGGGCCTCACGCTCAGTGTCCCTCCCACCCCTCTCTGCCTAATCCCTCCACTGGTGGTCTCCAATCCAGCGGCTCCACCCCTCTCCACGCCAATCCCTCACCCCACTGGACCTCCACTCAGTGTCCTCCACCCCCTCTCTGCCAATCCCTCCTACTTGTCTCTACTCAGTGTCCTCCACCCCTCGCTGCCAATCCCTCCCAATGGTCTCCTACTCAGTGTCCTCCCACCCCTCTCTGCCTATCCCTCCACTGGCCTCCATTCAGTGTCCTCCAACCCCTCTCTGCCAATCCCTCCACTGGCCTCCACTCAGTGTCCTGCCCCATGCCCTCTTTCCAATCCCTCCACTGGTCTCCACTCAGTGTCTTCCCATCCCCTCTCTGCCATGTCCCTCCTCTGGCCTCCACTCAGTATCCTCCCAACCCGCTCTGCCAATCCCTCCACTGGCCTCCATTCTGTCGTGCTCTGCCACCCCTCTCTGCCATCCTCCTTGTCTCCACTGACCCAGTGTCCTCCACCCCTCTCTGCCAATCCCTCCACTGGTCTCCAGCTCCGTCCGACTCCACCCCTCTCCTGAACCAATTCCTCCACTGACCTCCACTCAGTGTCCTCCACCCCCTAGCTCTGCCATTTATCCCGCTCGCCACTGGTCTCTATAGCTCAGTGGTCTCCTCCACCCCTCTCTGCCAATCCCTCCATGGTCTTCACTCAGTGTTCTCCCACCCCTCTCTGCCATATCCCTCCACTGGCCTCAATTCAGTGTCCTCCACCCCTCTCTGCCTAATCCCTCCAAACCTGGCCTCCACTCAGTGTCACTCCATCCCTCTCTTCCAATCCCTCCACTGGTCTCCCTAACTCAGTGTCTTCCACCCCCTCTCTGCCAGTCCCTCCACTGGCCTCCATTCGCAGGGTGTCCTCCCACCACTCTCTGCCAATCCCTCCACTGGCTCCATTCAGTGTCCTCCATCCCTCTCTGCCAATCCCTCCACTGGCTTCCCATTGCCCAACGGATAAAATTCAAACATTAACAATAATAGCATTTATAAAGCCCCCCCAATTAGATCACCGTCTTTTGTGTCTCTAAATATCACCCAAACCGTCCTCTCCGCTCCTCGCATGACCTCCTGCTCTCTAGCTCCCTTGTCTCCTCCTACCTGCCTCCTCGTCTCCAGGACTTTCTCCAGAGCTTCCCCATCCTCTGGAACTCTCTACCCCAATCTATCAGACTATCGCCTACTCTGCTCCCTTTTAGGCGATCTCTTAATACCGATCTCTTCAGGGAAGCCTATCCTGCCTCAGCTAATAACAGAATCTTCTCCTACTCCTCCTACCAGTCCATCCCCACAGTTACTACCTTTTGTACCACAGCCCCTCCCTCCTAGATTGTAAGCTCCCAGGATCAGGCCCTCCCTATCCCTCTTGTATTGAACTGTATTGTTGCTGTATTGTCTCCCGTTATATTGTACAGCGCTGAGCATAACTGTTGGCGCCATAAAATCCTGTATAATAATAATAATTATGAAGAGTAATAGGGCCGCGATCCCTCCACATTTCCTGGGACTCACCCAGAACGGACAGATGCGCTCGCTGTGACCTCAGGGCCGCCTGGGTGGCCTGGCATTCATAGATGGCGTCATCACTGAGCTCCACGTTCTCGATGTGCAGGTTGTGTTCTCCCAATCCCGGATCTCCAATGATGGAGTAACGGGACCAACCTGTAGGAAGGTCAGATCATTATAATATGTAACAGATCATCTCAGGTTCTACTTCCACCTCTGAAACATCCGCTCATCATTCATTTCCATCACTGCCCAATCACAAGGCGTGTTCCTTCACCTAAAACTGATTATTCACTGTTTGGTGGACACCCTGACAGATTCCACGATCTATTTGGAAACCTATTAGTTTCTGGGTCTGTACACCCTCTGTGCCCATTATGAGGGGTTCCCACCATCCCTGTGCTGAGTTCCCGGGTCTGTACACCCGCTGTGCCCATGATGAGGGGTTCCCACCATCCCTGTGCTGAGTTCCTGAGTCTGTACACCCGCTGTGCTCATTATGAGGGGTTCCCACCATTCCTATCCTGAGTTCCCAGGTCTGTACCTCCTGTTGTGCCCATTATGAGGGGTTCCCACCATCCCTGTGCTGAGTTCCTAGTCTGTACACCCGCTGTGCCCATTATAAGGGGTTCCCACCATCCCTGTGCTGAGTCCCGGCTCTATACACCCTCTGTGCCCATTTATGAGGGGATCCCGCCATCCCTGTACTGAGTTCCCGGGTCTGTACACCAGCTGTGCCCATTATGAGGGATTCCCACCATCCCTGTGCTGAGTTCCTGGGTCTGTACACCCGCTGTGCCCATTATGAGGGATTCCCACCGTCCCTGTGCTGAGTTCCCGGGTCTGTACACCGCTGTGCCCGTTATGAGGGGTTCCCACCATCCCTGTGCTGAGTTCCCGGGTCTGTACACCCGCTGTGCCCCTTATGAGGGGTTCCCACCGTCCCTGTGCTGAGTTCCCGAGTCTGTACACCCGCTGTGCCCATTATGAGGGGATCCCGCCGTCCCTGTGCTGAGTTCCCGGGTCTGTACTCCCGCTGTGCCCATTATGAGGGGTTCCCACCATCCCTGTGCTGAGTTCCTGAGTCTGTACACAATGCTGTGCTCATTATGAGGGGTTCCCACCATTCCTATGCTCAGTTCCCGGGTCTGTACACCCGCTGTGCCCATTATGAGGGGTTCCCCTATCCCTGTGCTGAGTTCCCGGGTCTGTACACCCGCTGTGCCCATTATGAGGGGTTCCCCCATCCCTGTGCTGAGTTCCCGGGTCTGTACACCTGCTGTGCCCATTATGAGGGGTTCCCACCATCCATGTGCTGAGTCTCCAGGTCTGTACACGGCTGTGCCCATTATGAGGGGTTCCCACCATCCCTGTGCTGAGTTCCCGGGTCTGTACACCAGCTGTGCCCATTATGAGGGATTCCCACCATCCCTGTGCTGAGTTCCCGGGTCTGTACACCCGCTGTGCCCATTATGAGGGGTTCCCACCATCCCTGTGCTGAGTTCCCCGGGTCTGTACACCAGCTGTGCCCATTATGAGGGGTTCCCACCATCCCTGTGCTGAGTTCCTGGGTCTGAACACCAGCTGTGCCCATTATGAGGGGTTCCCACCATCCCTGTGCTGAGTTCCCGGGTCTGTACACCTGATGCGTCAGCAACCCCTTCATTTTGAACTGCCTTCACACAATGCAAGTGAAACATAACATACGATAACACGTGTGTGGCGTGACGGAGATACCCAGCGGCGGGTGTCTGGGGTCCGTTACAATGTGCATTAACACCCCACAAAGATAAAGAGGCACAAAAAATGTCCTAACTGTGTATTCCAACGTCACTATTTACCAGCAGATTAAAGAAAAATTAACAATTAATTAGCAACAAACGACTTTTTTCTTACCTGGAAGATCTCGCTCCGCCCCCAGCGCCAATCCATCCATCGTCCACTGCACCGTCCCTCGGTAGCCGACCACAATGCAGGGGAGAGTCACCGACTTGCCGGAGACGACCACCTGATCCGACGGCTGCTGTGCGAAGTGAGCCGCGAAACCTGGAAACGCAGGAGAGAGGTGATTGAGTTTCGCGCCCGCTGGCTACAAGGGGTCAGAGGTCAGCTGTATACCATATGGTATATATACATACATTTCTGTATTGTGTTAGTGGCCCCCCAAGCCCACAGCTGTCAGACGCCTCGTGCCTGAAATATTCCGTCCCACCTATTGACTCCTTCACCGTATCTAATATTTATGGAGCGCGCGCCTTTCTCTTCACGCACTCACGTAGGTGTCACCAAACATCTGCGCTGGAAACGCGTGGAGACTCCTGCCAGCTGCCGAGGGCTAAAGAGAACCTGCTGTTGACTTTACATCTCTAAAATGCACCGACTGAGCTGCTTCCAGGTATTGGTGATTGGTTCGATTGCTGACTGTGAGATTGGAGGAGCTGGGCCAGCACAGGCAGTAGTTAGGCATGCGGGGGGCTATGATGTACAAGGAGGGAGGAGGCTGTGCTACAGAACAGGGGCGGACTGACAACTCATGGGGCACCCAAGCAATAAGGGATCATGAGGCCCCTGTGTCCTTGCCCACACCCAAAAAAAAGCCTATGAAAAAGCCAATGAAAGATATACCAGGGGCATCTCATGGGGCCCCCTACTGACCCCGGGCCCTCGAGCAGTGCCCGAGTGCTCGAATGGTTAGTCCGCCCCTGCTACAGAAGTTGACTCTTCCTGGAGCAGCCACTTTTTCTTAGCAAAGTCAATAAAAATAATTAGGAAAATATGGAATGGAAAATCACGGCAGGTAAGCATTCCAAATTCTTGATTTTTCTTTTCCTGAACCGGCTGGTAACAGGTTCTCTTTAATTTGTAATCCCTGTCAACCTCTGTCAGATGTCCTGGATTTGCTGGGACGGTGTGGTGTCTTGGCTCCCTGTCCCGCCAGTTCTGTCCTGGGCCATGTCCCGGAATCACAGCATCTACCAGATTTGAGCTACTGCACATGCTCAGTTACTCATGACGGCATTAATGGGTCCTGGGTGGGACCAACCTGTAAAGTGGGTGTGATGGGCCGGGGGTTTTTATTTTCACTAACATACAATTTTCAGGACAAGCTTTAGGGGGTGTGGCCCCTTTCTTCAAGGCAGCAACCATAGATCTCCCAGCAGCCAGCACCAATACACCCTCCAGCAGCCAGCACCAATACACTCTCCAGCAGCCAGCACCAATACACCCTCCAGCAGCCAGCACCAATACACTCTCCAGCAGCCAGCACCAATACACCCTCCAGCAGCCAGCACCAATACACTCTCCAGCAGCCAGCACCAATACACCCTCCAGCAGCCAGCACCAATACACCCTCCAGCAGCCAGCACCAATACACTCTCCAGCAGCCAGCACCAATACACTCTCCAGCAGCCAGCACCAATACACCCTCCAGCAGCCAGCACCAATACACCCCACCAGCAGCCAGCACCAATACACCCTCCAGCAGCCAGCACCAATACACCCTCCAGCAGCCAGCACCAATACACCCACCAGCAGCCAGCACCAATACACCCACCAGCAGCCAGCACCAATATACCCTCCAGCAGCCAGCACCAATACACCCTCCAGCAGCCAGGACCAATACACCAGCCAGCAATAATACACCCTCCAGCAGCCAGCAATAATACACCCTCCAGCAGCCAGCAATAATACACCCTCCAG